GCTCACCGATCGGCGCTTCTACGCCGTGCTTCTCGACCAGGTTGACGGCTTGCACCGAGCCGTACCGCCGGCATAACCCCTCAAAGTGCTTCTTCAGGGCCGCAAAGTTGGCGTCGGGCGAGTGTCGTAGCACGGGCACCGGCTTGAGCGAGTACGGCGACTGGGTGAAGAAGAGCGGGAAGCTGCCCCTCGTTTGCACAAACGAGTACACCCTGGCGGTCGGGTCCCAGGTCGCCGCCGCCGGCGAGAGGATCTGCTCCGACTCGACCGAGTTGGCGACGTTGCCGTCCTCGTCGATGCCCCGGCGGAGGTACCGCAGCCCGGCGCGTTTGACGGAGCGCCGCGAGATGATGGTGATGTCAAACTTTTGTTCTGTCGGCCGCATGTCCGCGGTGGCCATCTCGGGGGGCGACGGCGACGCGGCCCTGGACGAGGCAAAGTCACTAAGCTCCACCGAGTCCTTGTGCGCGGCGTCGTCGACTTGCGGCGGGTGGCTGTCCAGGACAAACGTCCGCTGCCCCACGAAGCCCTGCATCAGGGGCAGCGCGAGGCTGTCTATCCCGGCGTCGATGAACGGCTGGATGATGTTGCGATTCCAAAAGTACGTCGGCTCGACATGCTCGTGCAACGGCACCAGTGGCGTCTCGGGCACCTTCGGGTTGGCCATGCTGCGCGTGATGTCGTGGTCGTAGGCGAAATAGAACGTCTTGCTCGACCCGAACAAGATCTGGGCCGTCCGCAACAGCTTCGGCAACAAACTAATCGCGGCCGCGCTGCCGTCTGCATCATCAGGGACACTGAACTTGACCGGCACGCCCTTCCCCTTGGCCCCCGCCGACCCATCCTCGGCGCTCAGCCCCATCGTCCGCTTCTGGTCCATCGCCCACCCGGACTTGCTGAACCACCTCTGCGCAAATCGCCCGTAACTCCCCTTCCTCCCAATCACGTCCTGCGCCACGCTACTCCTCCTCCCGCACCAGCAGCGGCACCAGCACCAACACCCCCGGCAGCAGCAGCACCCTCCTCAGTCTCGCTCACAACCCCGCCATCATCATCGTCCGCGCCCCCGATCCCATCTCCGGCCCCGTCTCATCCCTCGCAGCCGCAGTCGACAAGCCCCCTCATCCCACCTTCATCCCCACCACCGCCGCCGCTCACCGCAGCAGCGGCAGCAGTACTACTACTGGAAGCCGCATCCCGCGCCCTCAGCGCCGCCGCCGTCTTGGCGACAGCCTCGGCGGCATCCTGCTGGCCGGTGCAGGGCGTGAGGGCGACCTCGGTGACGACGTACACCGGCAGGCCGCGGATCTGGGCGACCTGCTGGCGGCGGGTGATGGAGATGAGGTAACTGTAGCGGAAGACGGTCAAGATGCCTAGGTGCACAAAATCTGAACCGGGACAAATCTGGACGCAAAACATCCAAGGGTGCGGTTCATGGCGCGTTCACGCGGAGGAGGGTTTGGGGAGGGAGCGCGAGAGGGACGAGGTGAAAAGATGGAGGGGTCAAGAGATGGCGGGTTAAGGGGGTGTGCGTACCGACGATGCCAAACGCCTCAAACGACGAGTTCGGGTCTGGGCCGTTGCCGTGTCGCGCGGAGGGTGGAGATGGAGGCGTCGCCGTACTTGATTCGGACTGGGGGAAAGGAGGAGGAGCGTTGTTGCTGTGGCTGTTGTGGCTGTTGCTGTTGGTCTTTGCCATTGTTGCGTGAGTTGAGCGGGTGCAGCACCAGCCCGTCGACGGCGGCGCAGATGACGATTTTGCGCGCCAGGCCCGGCATGGTTTTTGTTGGTGAATTCGGTCTACAAGACCATGCCCGGGAAGTGTATCACTGGTAGGGATGACGCTTTAGTGCGCTGAGTATGGTGTGGTTTGTAGACCTGTACTATTATTGGAGATGAGGGAGAAGGAATATGGCCAAGAACAGCGCTGCGAGTTCAAATGAGTCCTAGAGAATATGGCCGAGTGAGTGTTTGGCTGCGGGCCACCACTGCCCGGCCTTGACCTGGGCGATCGTCTTTGCGACCTGACTCTGGCACCGATGATGTCTGGGAATGTGGGGTACCGACCCATCCCGCAGCCCAGGCGTCATCTTGCAGGGCCCTCACGTCTGATGTCGAATCGAAACCGAGGAACCGGGAGGCACCGCAATACCCCAACCCTGGACTGGAAATCGGAAACAAACCCAAGTCTATACTCTCTGGCTGGGATTTCTCCGCTGGACTACAGACAGCAGACATTCGGCATCAACCAAAAGCTGCCCTACAGCCCAACCTGGAAAAGGACATGCACAGCCGTGTCACCGTCCTGGCAATGCCCGTATCCCAGATTCCATCACGAACCTCCACAACCCTTTTGTCTCTCAACAATGTGTCTCTTTACATGGCCAGGCGCTCGACCTTGTCACGCAGGGCGCGGATCTTCGAGTTAAGGTCCGAAGCCTCGTTCGGAGTCAGGGAGACGGCAATGACGGCGCGCGACACACCGCAGGCACGGCCGAGGGCAACCTTGCTGGGGACGTACTATTGACGTTGTTAGCTTCAAGTCTCTGCCAGTTCTCAAACCCCGGTAACACGTACCACGTAGGGCACGTTCTTCTCCTCGCTGATGAGCGGGATGTGGAGCACGATGCTCAGCGGCTGGGTGTCGGCGGCGAGGATGACAAGTTCGCTGGTGCCGCGGTTGATGGACTTGGTGGCCTCGTTCTATGGTCCCGGTTAGCCAAATGTTTTGGGCCCCATAAAGTATGATGTGGTCCGACTTACGGCACCCTTCTTCAGCTGGCGGTAGTGGCTGGCCTGCTGCACGCAGTCAAGGAGCTCTTGGACCAGCGCGGGGTCCTCGGCCTTGGGCCAAGCGGCGGACTCGTTCTGAGCGGCAGACATTGCGGCGTCGGTTGGGCTGATGGTAAGAATGACGAGAGGTTCCGAGGTTGTCTTGTCGCCAGGGTTCACTGCGGTTGCTCGCCCTGGTGTTGTGTGGGATGCCGTGGGAAAATGCGATCGCGAGGGACAGAAAAGAATTGTTCCAGCCTCGCCAGGAAAAAGCGGTTCTTCCAATGCAATCTTTGGGCGGTCAGACATGGCAGAATGGGCTTAGGTTCGACCGGCGTCCGGATTACCTAATTGCAGGTGGCTGAGGGTGTGCCGGGGTGCCGCCGAGCAAAGCTCTGCCCCAAAGTCAAGGCACAGCAGCCAACCAACCTGCAACCTGGAAACACCTCGCCGAGCCAACCTCGAACTGTCAACCCATCATCGAACATCCACACGAGATCCGAGCTATCGACCTCTCGCACACCGCTCCATCGCGCAACCAACGCCATCGCCCTCGAGACCCCCATTCCTCTCATTTTCAATCGCCGCTGCAGCTCCGCGCTCAAGCTTTCAACATGTCCGACTTATGGTAAGCCGCTCGTCAAGCGCTGCCGTCTTCCCCTCAACCGCGCCGAGCTCCCCCCCAAACTCCCAACACTCAACTCAATCAGCCCCTGGTCCCTCATTGGGAAGCAGCGCAATACCATATCTCATGCGCTTCGACTCTGGACTCATGGATACATGCTAACAATGCCGTCTTTGCAGCCCCGTGTACGCGGTCAGTACCTTCTCCACCCCGTGACGCCCGTTGACCCCATCGGTTCGTCGGCGGCCGTGACCGACTCGGGATCCCACGTCGTCTCGATTTCGGAATAGGCGCAACACAAAGTCCTCGTGCTGACCTCGCAACAGCCCTTCTTTGGTGCCATGGGCTGCACCGCAGCCATCGTCTTCACCTGCCTTGGCGCCTCTTACGGCACAGCCAAGTCGGGTGTCGGCATCGCCGCCATGGGTGTTCTCCGGCCTGATCTTATCGTCAAGAGTGCGTCTACTGTGGCTGGATAATGATGGGATGTATAGCAGGCGGGGTTACTGACAGGTCGCTCCAGACATCGTCCCCGTCATTATGGCTGGTATCATCGGTATCTACGGTCTCGTCGTTTCCGTCCTGATCTCGGACGCCCTCAAACAAGACGGCTACGCCCTCTACACCGGCTTCATCCAGCTTGGTGCTGGTCTTGCGGTCGGTCTTGCGGGTATGGCTGCCGGTTTTGCGATCGGCATCGTCGGTGACGCTGGTGTCCGTGGTACTGCACAGCAACCAAGGCTCTTCGTCGGCATGATTCTGATTCTCATTTTCGCCGAAGTCTTGGGTAAGTTGTGGTCCCGTCGCATGACCCTCGGATGCGCTTTTTGCGCTAACAATGTTTAGGTCTCTACGGTTTGATCGTTGCGCTGCTCATGAACTCCAAGGCTATGCTCAACGTCTCATGCTGATGAGTGAACCTCGGAACCCGCACCGGCAAGTATGGGTGGACAAGCTGTAACTATCCGCAACCCAAACTGTCGGTGTATTATCTACAACACAAACTGCGTTTGTATGCCTTTGCATATCAATGCGCACAACAGGGGTTGATGTTGGGGTTGGCAAGGGGGCGAGGGGACGGGTCAGTCATGGGGTTGAGCAAGCGGCGCATCTCGGGTAGGGTTGGTTAATGGTTTCGCGGGACGTACATGTACTATTGTCACATTATGGTTGCTCATCGCTCGGGGTCTCGGGTTTCTCATCATAGACGGATGATGGGCAAGATTGTAGTCTAAGTTGGCAATGGTGCTGCTGCATGGTTTCCCAAGGTGATTTGCTTTGCCAGCTGACGCGGATCTACCAACACGCTCATCCGCAATATGCCGCCCGTCAGCACACCCTCGTACCACCACTCCCAAAGGCTTCCTGTCAAACTCCATACCCACGGAGCCGCCCCCCTGTTCAGCCGAGTCGCTCCCTCCGTGCCGGGTTTCCCACGCGCCGAGCCGCCCGCCCCACAACACGACACCTCAGTAAGTGGAGGGTCCCGTCCATCTCCGGACGGGGGCCCGAAACACGACGATTCGAGTTCCACACTCCACCACACCAGAAAATCTCTGCCCCCGTCCCCCGGGACTCAACAAACACACCACGAATTAGCCTCGCCCGGCTAGCTCAATCGGTAGAGCGTGAGACTCTTATTCAGTTCTCCATCTCAAGGTTGTGGGTTCGACCCCCACGTCGGGCTCAATTCCCGTCCACGATTGGATCATATCTTTTTCTCTTTTTTCCTTCCTTTTGGCTTCTCGACTTTGTATTCTTTTTTTTTCTTTTTCCTACTTTACGTTCTCCTGCTCTCTCCTTTCTTTCTTCGGAAGAATGGGACATCCTTTCTGCTTCTGGAATCGTTACTGCTTCATCTCTGGTCTAATTCTTGATGACCTGCCAGTCTGTGTATGCCTCTAGTTGCAGAGGACTCATGTCCATAGTTCATATCGACTATTACCGACAGTGAACATAGGCAGCCGCTGCTCAAGTCTGGCAAACATGCTCCGAGACAGATTTGAAGGATTACAATTATTTAAAACGTTCGGTATCAAATGAAGTTTAGAAAACCCAACAACTCGCAGTGTATCATCACCCCCCGTCTCAACCAAGACCAAGCATGACCAGGTCCAAACATGTGTGCCCCCTTTTTGACCCCCTCCCCACGCATCCCATCCATTCAGTCATCACCTCTCATTCATCGACGTGGCAATTCCAAACCTGCCCTCTGGTTCGAGCATTTTCCTCCACACAACAATCCTCCCCTTGCCATGGCTCCTTCATTGCCATGGTCCAAAGTATACGCCTCCGGCGACAGAGCGCGACAGCTTAGATGACGTACTGCAACATATGTTAGCCAACATTTCTATCTCTGAGATTAGAAGCGGCAGAGCCAAACAGAAACTTACCGGAATGAACAGGTACGGCACCTGCTTCTCATACTCGAGCCACGCGTCGCCATACTTCTCGCGGCAGCGCGTGATGTCGCGCCACGCGCGGTGCGCAATCATGGTGACGAAGAAGACCGGGTAGAACCAGGGGAAGGGGCTGTTGAAGCCCGTGATTAGGCCCCACGAGGTGGCGAAGAAGACGTCGCACGTGTAGTGCACCTTGCGGGCCAGGCCGTACCAGCCGTCGGCGAGGATCTTGTCGCCCAGCCCCGTCTCGATGGTCTTGGGGTTGTGGATGGTCTGCCACGGCAGCTGCGGGAACGTGTTGCGCTTGATGAGCTTGCCCTTCTCCATGGCGCGGAAGCGGTTCTTTTGGCTGTTGCAGCTGTCCCAGACCCAGTAGAAGAAGAGGTAGCTGACGTAGAGGGCGGCGAGGGCCGCGCGGTTCCAGCGGTACGTCTCGGGCGCGTGGTTGGCCAGGTAGATGGTGCAGTGGCAGTAGGAGAGGGGCACGCCCGACAGGTTCCAGAAGATGAGCATGAAGCCCCACTTCTCGTAGTACATGTCCCAGGTGGTGACGATGAGCTCCTCGCCCTTGGAGGTGGCGTTGGCGTAGAGAAAGTGCGCGAGCACGAGGAAGCCGACCTCGCCCGAGACGTAGCCGTAGCGCTCCCACTGGCGGGCGGCCGCGCCGCACGACAGGAGGAACAGGATGTACCACGGCATGCGCACCTCGAAGAACATCTTGAAGTCGAGCACGCCGAACATGCGCGGGTTCAGCTCGGCGCCCATGAAGAAGTCGTAGACGTGGTTGCCCGACATGCGGTGCTGGGCGCCGCGCGCGAGGGCCGAGACGTAGGCGACGATGGCGACGAGCCAGCCCGACAGGATGGAGACGGTGAGCAGCGGGCCGAACTCGTCGATGATGGTGTACAGCGGGAAGAGGCCCGAGAAGTGCAGGGCGCCGACCAGGGCGATGGTGGTGTAGAAGGACGTGTAGGCGGAGCAGTAGTACTTGAGCTGCTTGCCGCCCTCGTGGGCGAGCGGCTTGCCCCAGGCCCAGACGCCGGGCATCAGGCAGTACATGGCGCCCTCGACGATGAAGAAGGTCCAGTAGATGAGCCAGGCCTTGGCGTGCGGGAAGGCGCCCGTGTAGACGAGGTTGACGAGGTGCTTGGCGAAGTCGCCGAGGGACTGGCCGGCGGCGGGGGTGGGGAAGAGGCCGTCGTAGTAGGTGGCGCCGATCCACATGTACCACATGAGCACGGGGAAGCCGACCATCATGAGCGAGACGAACCACGGCCCGCCGAACTCGTACTCGCCCGAGAGGTCGACCTTGGGGTCCATGCCGGGCCGCCAGCCATCGACGACCTTGTCCTCGCTCTTGTGGTGCTTGCCGTTGGCCGCGCCATTGGCCTTGGGGGATGCGATCTTGGCCTGCGGGCCAGCATCGCTGTCGACGGGCGACTCAGGGGGGGTCACCTCCTCGATGTGCTCGGTGAACTTGGGCGCGCCGCGCTGGCGCAGGGACCGGCTCTCCATGACTTCGGAGGCGGATGTGGACTCGGCGTCGGAATCGGTCGGGAACGGGGACTTGCGACGGAGGTTGCGACGGGCCGGAGTCTCTACCATGCCATCAAAGAGCTCCTTTTTCCTGTGCTCGGTTAGCACATCCAGAGGCCAGGTGGCGGAAAGACACAGCAGTTGAGCGACACAACACGGCGCAAGTAAACAGATCAGAGGGCAAGCAAAGAAAATATGATACACATGGGAGAAAGGAGTGCTGAACTGACCTCGGCGTCTGCCGCAGTGAATATCTGCTCGACATCTTGACCAAGTTGGACGCGACGCGGGCGCAATCTTTATACTTGGTATTTTTTTCAGGGGGGAGATCCAGGGGCGTGGCTGCTTTCGCAGGAACGCTTTCCAGGGCGATACTAGTATTCGTGTAATGAATGACAGGCGTGCCCGGGACAGCCTTGACGACCAAACGCCTGGGGCTGATTTCTGGGCGGTGAGGCAGAAAAAGGAGTGTGGACAAAAAGAGAAAGAAGCGCCGTCGCACAGGACGGCTGCACCCTGCTGTCGATCGAATCGTGCGCGTGGGTTGCAGGCACAGATGCAGGGACCAATTGCCGGTTTGTTGACAAAATTTGACTGGACAATCAACCCCTGGTTGAGCCAGCAACTCCCCACCCATTGGTGGGCGGCTCAGGCGGACGCAGGGCGCCACAGGTGTGGCTCGTCAATACTAGTGTCAGCCCGAGATGAATACTCGTGTTACCTAAGCCAACCTCCCGTACGGAACTTGGCATTCAGGAGTTGGCACTGCAATCAGGCAAGAGGGGCGACTGTTCCCAAGATGCCGGATACTAGTGTCCTGATGCTGCCATGTGATGCCGATGGGGAAGCAATAAATGAAATCATGGCCTGGGATCGCCGAGAGTCCCATTGGGTGCCGTGCGGAAAAGCAGCTTCTGCTGCCTGCCACGAGTTCCCCTCAAAGAAAATGTGCGATGCTTGCGACTTCGAGTCGGGTTAGGTACTCTGGAAAGATTAACATTATTTATTCCATGCATGTTCTTGTCAAATGATCCGTGGCTCAGCCTCAGCCACATCTCGATGTCAAACGTAAACCCATACAACCGCCGAAACGCCGACCATCAAACAGATATCCGGCCTAGTACCAAAGAAATGAAACAAAGTTCACAACCATGTGAAGAACAACATCATACCCCGTTGGAATCACCCAACAGCTCATACCCATCTTCCGGCGGCAGGACAAACGCTGAAATGGCCAGCCCAGCCCCCGTCAGCAGTGCCACACCCGCACTGATCGTGCACAGATACCACGACGAGTCCAGCCGATAGCCAGGCACCAGAAACATGTCATCATGGTCAAAAAGATATGCCTTCCCTTTGTCAGTCCCAGCATGTTTGATCTGTAGGTCGGCTGGAGCAACACTCACCACAATGGCCATCCCCACAAACTCAGCCGCTGCCACCGCCCCCAGAAGGCCCCCCAAGATCTTCCATCCGCCCTGCCTCTTCACCTTGCCACCCCCCACGATGATGAGAACCCCAACAACAGCAGCCAGCTCGACGATTGTGGCGAAATTCATCAGGAACCCGGTGGTGCGCCACATGGAGCAGAAGGAGCGGCCGTCGCCGTCACAGCGCGCTTCCTCGGGGAAGGGGGAGCACGTCCCTGTGGGAGAGTAGGTGCAGCGGCGGTGGAGGCCAATAGTATCGGTTACCGTGCCGCCCGAGGGGGAGGAGACGGTGTAGGAGACCCATCTGGGGGAGATGATGGAGGTGATGGTCATGGCGGTTGCTGGGGCGTGGGGGTTAGCGTTGGAGTTTCATGAGGCGAGAGCAGGCAAGTTGAGATGTTGAAAAAATAAAAGAGAGCACTATAGGCAAATGATATGCTATAGAAAAGAAACAATTGCAACATAGAAGAGTAAAGAGAGAAAGAGCTGAAGCCATGATGTGCGTATGATTGCTTCAGGTCGCACCTCACCAGAGCATTGAGAAGATATGAAGTCCCTTTTACCACTGGTAAAGGTCGCCATCTTCGGCACACCGTTCGAAAAAAAAACCCACCAACACCACCCCAATTGCATTTGAAAGATAATGAAGAGCTTCAACTCACCCGCAACCAAGGCGACCAGCGCCGCGCTGTACACAACCGTCCGCGTCATGGTGGCAATTCCAAGTTATAAAGACACAACTCAGTTCCAGGTTCCCAAACCCTTGGCAAACAACTGATAGATAATGCGAGTGAGACTGGGCGGGTGACTCTGGATGGACTTCGACAAACTGAAAAGGTGAGAGACTCGATTCGCCTGCGCACACAAACGATGACCGGCGACGAAATGCCAGATTGGCTGATGCCTGGAGCATGGCATGTTGAGGCCGCGCAAGCGGCACAGCCACCTCCCCGCAGTGGTGGTCTGAACAATTGACCTAACCAAGCTCGGCAATAAAACGTGAAATCACCGCCGTTGATTGGTCGCTGCAACTCAAATGTTCAAGGTGTGAGCAACTGCATTGTGGGAAAGTGGCTTATGGGAAGAGACAAAGGGCAACTGCATCGACCTATTTTCTTCCATCTCCCATCGTTCAAATCCATATCTGTGCTCTTTTTCAAGTTGACAAGTCAGTGTTCCTAGACAACCTGTCGATAAAACAACGTACATCCAACATCCCAAAACATTGTCACTCACCCAATCCTTGCTGGCACAACAAAATCAAGAGGAACAGCAACATTTACACCACGATATGTTAATTCATATCTATCCGAATCCAA